TTTCCAAACATACAGCTTACAGTTGCGTATGAGAATGTTGTTACTGTAGTAGCCAAAACTTGCAACAACATTTTATTGAGAAGAAACAGTATTTTATTTCACTATTCTTAAAAGAAACAAAAAATGTTTTAAATTCATGTAGTATAGATGGGCATTGTAAATTTCATATGTAAATGTATAAAAAAATGTATATATACTGTATACATATTGTGTCTTAAAAGTCTCTCATAAATCTTTTTTAAGATTGGTGCATACATTGCAAACGTTTTAACTGTTTTATGTGTTATTATGTGAATCTTCTTGTATGTTAAAAAAACTTTGTATGTAGTGAGACTATAATAAAATATTGAATCTGAATCTGCTTTAAACTAAAATCAAACCCAATTGATTACATTTGTCAGAGCCGAGATCAAGTTTCTAAATGCGTAAAAATCGGGTTTGAACAATTGATTGCTAAAATGTGCAAAGTCTGCCTCATCAAAAGATGCCTCTTTAGTTAATATCATAGTTTCGAATAATGAAAATGCTTTTTGTAGATATCAATTTCAAGTAAACCGTTTTGTAATTAATAGTCTCCCGCCGTTGATAAACATGTAGTAAAAGTCTACGCCTATTCGTCCGAAACACAATACTCAAATATAGAAATATGAAAATGTAGTATGATTGCCAATGCGAGTAAAGATGTGACTAAAGAAATCTACTGACGAGGTTCATACCTTTAGACATGCATATGCACATGTGGCGGGGTGTCAGTACAAGACGTGTTTTTGCACCTCCTCCATTTAAATCAAATCAGAAAAAATCAGTAGGCACTAATAAGGGCATACAATAAAGATCAGTTATAAACACTTCACTTATAGTATCGGTATAATAGACAACAAAACATAGGTACACGCAATTTTAGTAAGACGCAACCGTATGTAGTTCACCTATGTATGTAGTTCTATCCCTTTTAGACAGACAATTTGGTGATATGTTTATGCATATGGACCTTTGGGTCTAAAATAAAGATTATTCTACATCTATCTTATCTTATCTTTTCCTTAACGATGCATGTTCTTTACTTTTAAATCTTTTTGAAATATATTACACCAACAAAATTCTCAAAGGCTGTAATATGAACTCCAAACGGAGCAAGCTTGGTTGCGTCACAGCATAAGCGTCTCGAGTTCAATCGAGTTCACATCTCCAATCGAGTGCAGACTCAGTAAAATCATAAAGTTGATCGAAAGCTTGTGTAGCAGTGTCATTTTCAGTTGTTTCTCATTACACTGCTGGTGGTGTTTTTTGAGTTAGGAGTACAGCCCTTTTAAATAGTAGTAAATACTATCGTATCAAAGAGTGCTCGAATTACTGAAATCACCCCGTACTGCATACAGTTATATCGGAGTAGATTTCATTTTCAATGCAACAAAAAGTTCAGTAAAACACGGTCTTGCGCAATGCCGAAAGTATTTTTTACAGAATTATAGCGGGGCAAATATTACAGACACATTGTTGTATAATACTGCAGAATATGTGATATCACAGCAATCGTGTAATACGTGGTGTTGTCTGAAAACAAAGAAGATTTAGGGTTGAAAGATTTGAATCTTTAACTTTATACTGACATTGACTCTTGAAAACTTTATACTTTATGAACTTAACACTCATTTCTGATAAAAAAAAATGATATGGGGGTAACTGTCTGATTTACGTTTGTTTTCCAAAGCTCTTGTTCATATACATTTATTAACCTGTGAAAGAAAAATATATCCGAGATCGCGATGTTAGAGTCAAACACATTTTTGTAATTACCCATGTTATTTTCTTCTACCATTTATATTCTAGTTCCCACTTTTGTTAATATGCGGAAATAATGAATTCTTCAACATGAAAACAAAATATTGCCAAATGTCAAAAGGTCTCATTACACCCCCGTTTTACAAATTCGCTGGAATACTTGTTTTTCTAAAAAAAAATTCTTTAAGAAATACAGATAAAATTTCATTTCCTCTGATTAAAATATATTTAGTCAGACGTGCAATGTTGCTTACCGTAACTAGACAGTTTCCTGATAATACATGGTTTTACTAAGTGTGATTAACGGCAATTAGTGTACAATTAATTGTCCTGTAGACCTGTTTTCGTGTCGGGAGATCATGCATGAAACAATTAGGATACTGTTACATCACCATCAATACTAAAGGTAATTTATTTCATTTGAGTGGTTGCAAACTATTGATTCAAAATCTTGTTATTGTGAGATGTGATTTATAACTGCCGAGAAGAAATCGGATGCAGAATCATGCTGTCACAAAGGTTACATGTAACTACTATAAGTAAGAAAAACTTACATGTTTTCAAAATAAAATTCATAAGAAAGTTCTCACTAAGGGTGACTGAGGGATAGAAACATGGTCACTCCTGGTCTTCTGCAGACCGGCAGTAAAACCCTTGCAAAAGTGGGGTGTACTTGTTGCTGTGCAGGATGTACAAGTCCGCAGCCACGTCAGGTCAGAACAGGAACGTTAAATCCGATGCCTCGCAAAGAGAGAGTGTCACGCTCTTTGCACTTGAAAACCTCTAAACCAACTTTTTTGAGGATCCATAGGTAGCCTGTTACAAGGCAAAATTTCTATTTAAATCCAATTTACCCTCATTTTCCAGTTGCAGCCCAACCCCGACCGTCATTCCGGACGGCATCTTTTACATGATCTACCTATCATTTTTATTGTTAATTTGTTCTCGTCCTGAACATGCATGAAATATTTGCCACTAGATGTTAAGCAACCAACAAAGTTGTCATGACTAATGAGGAAGCTTTATGAATTTGTGTTCATTCTGCTAACGTAATATGATCAAAAAGGTTTTGTTAAATCAATTATAGTCAAAAGATATCTCGCTTTGTAATTCTTCACATAGTTCAAGATTTGTATGAAATTGTAGTTTATCTGACAGAGGCAACTTATAAGTCCACGAGTAGAATGTAGATAGATTATCTGATGTTCTTCTGGCCTTCGAAATGTCATTATACTATATAATCTACTTTGTTTCTAACTTTCGTAAAAAAAATCAGTTTTACATGAGTCACTGGCATTCTTAATAAAATGTAATGTTTATAAGCCTAAAGGAAAACAGTTTAGAAACACTCCCATAAGCCAAGATACAGATTTTGGTAATAGATAAAAAATAAAAATCTTGAAAGACCGAAAAACATTTCAAACATCTAACTAAATCATTTGACACAGATTTCTATTGAAAGGCAAGTCGTATCTTAAAGAAGAAACAAACAAGCTACTGCTGCACGTACCTTTTCAACTTTGATTACCGTTTGAAGTTTACGGTCATATGTAAGGGGACGACCATTTGATATTCTGGGGGGGGGGGGGGGGGGGGGGCAGGAGGATTTTGAAAATAAATAACTCAGCCTTGATAATCACAAAAATAAATGGTTTGTTCTGTGGTAGTTTGAAAATAAATAACCTGACTTGCAATGTATTAAAAATAAATAACTCGGCAGGTCTATTTGAGAGCATGAGATTGCACCAGATTCTTCATAAACTCAACTTTTTTTTCAAAAAAAATCGGGAATCACTTCCCAAATCTTTGAATAATAAAAGTATAAATATTATTTAAAATACTTGAAATGTCTGAAAAATGGGTTTCATTTAACTTGAGGTATATTGTCTCAGGAACACTTAACTCACTTTTATTACATATGGCAGTAACTACATTCAGGCAAATGCCTCATGTAGGAAATTTCAAAACCAAAAGCTTGTCTTCATATCAAATTGTTTTCACATCAAGTGTCTTGCAAGAAGCAAGTTCTGTTCTCCCTCAGACGTAGCTCTTGTTTTTTGGGGATCAATGTTTCTTATTTATTTGTCTTTTGTTCATTGATTGCCCTTCTGTATTCTGTTAGTGTTGCATTCCTTTTGTAATTTAGTAATTTTGTTATTAACTTGATCAAGAGTTTAAAAAAAACCAGCAGCCACATACTTAACTATGTGAATTAAATTTTTGCTTTATCTTTGTCTTTTGATGTTGTTCCTAAAAACTTAAGTCTTACACTGAATCTATACATGTTGCTTTGAGACCAAAATATTGTCAAAAAATGATTAAAACAGAACTTTCATTTTCAGATTAAGAAAGGGTTTGGGAAACACATTTTGCATCATTAGTTCTATAGCAACTTGGGTCCTTCAGCGGCTCCAAAACCCTTCAAATTTTTTTAGCCTCGCTCCGCTCGGCATAAATGATTTGCAATACTTTTAAAAGACACTAATTACAGCCAAACTTTGATATCTTGTATGTATGCAATACATGTATATGCAGTTGGGAATTCAGAAGATTCATTTCTACAGATGATGATGATTAATTCTGATTAAATGGTACATAATGATTGGACTATTCACGTATTATTTATAATAAAAAATAAATTTAAAAATTGTATGTTTTCAAATATTATAAATATAGTTGTGAAAATAAATAATCAGTCCCTTGCTTTAATGAAAATGAAAAATCTTGCTTCAACAGTGCAGAAAATAGATAATCTGTCCTCTTAGTTTACAAAAATAAATAACCGATCAAAAACAAATCCTCCTGGCCCCCCCCCCCCCCCCCCCCCAGAATATCAAATGGTCGTCCCCTAACTAAAAACATCTTAACAATAATGGTCAATCCATTTAGTGTACAAAAATACATATATATGTTAAAAATTTTTTTTAAATCTTAAAGACAACAGGCTGAAAATTTAGTAAGCAAAATGCGTTTCGTCTACTCACCATACAGTAGTTCTTGAATCATCACAGTTGAGATTCAAAGGCAATAACAAGATCCAAAATTATTGACAAGTTATATTTCCAAAGAGTTATGCCAAATTGGGTCAATGCCATCTTTGTACTTTTTACTTCCTTTCGTTGGTTGACTATTTTTTTTAATCCGTAATACATTGATATAATACAATATATAAATTCGTTTATGTATAATATACAAATTATGTCATATATAAGCTATGATGAGTTTATCTACATACTTTATTTTCCCCAACACCATGAAATTTCTTTTTTATGAAATATGCATATATCAAATATAACATAAATACTAAATACTATAAATGGTATTTACAGTAATTTTGTCTTGGACATAATCTCGTCTAATATCAAATGCTACGACAGATAAATTTGTACAAATATTAACATGCACAGCTAATGAAAGTTAACTTAAAGGCTCATAACAAGGAGGTGGTACTGTCGAACAATCCACACATTCTGGTTTTGTCACATTGAAATTGAAACAGTTTTTTATACACGGTTTTGTAAAAATTCTGCTTTTATCACACTCTATAAAGTAATTACATCCACGAGGATGCAGCTTGTAAGTTTCGTTAGATGCACAATAGTTTTCTGAAATGAATAACATGTTGACATCAGAGTTCAATCAAATGAAAGTTTGTAGTAAAAAGTAATTAAGAAGATCCAAACGATACTGGATTATAAGTATGGGAACATTTGAAGAGTTTTTAATGAAACTTCTATAATTGAACCTCATTGTACAAGTACTCTGCATCCTAAACTTAAAGTCATATTGAAAGACTTATTCCGAAAAAAGAAAGACAACTTGCGTACAAATCAAAGATATAGGAAGATGTGGTATGAGTGCCAATGAGACAACTTTCCATCCAAGTAACAATTTATAAAAGTATAACCATATAGGTCAAGGAACGGCCTTCAACACGGAGCACTGGGTCACACCGAACAGCAAGCATACCTTTTTTGAAAACACTACTGATTTAAATTAAACATGCTCTTAAGCATTCAACATCAAAATGCTTCCTATCGTGATTCACACCAAAGATGTTACAATTGATGCACGTGCTATCCATTTGGACGTTTTCTATTTATGATTTCATTATAAAACGTAAGGCTTGCTGCTTTGAAATAATCTTATGAAATAAGGACGTTTTATAATTTTGAATGACCGATAGGGAACATATGTGCCAAAATGAACACCACGGTAATGTCCTATCAATCATAACCACAGTAACGCCCTGCTTTCTTTGTTTATGGCATATGCGAATGCCACTTATCACAAGAATATATAAATTGGGAATCTTTTTTCGTCCGAGGTGTTTGCAACTGAATTTTCGTCGGAACTGCTAGTTTGATCTTATTCATCTAAAATGTCTGAATATCAAGTGTAACGTGTTATCTTGTATCTAATTTGTATCATTTGTTAGTAAGTAAGATGACCTATAATCAAGTACTGTTCAGATATGCGGTTGCAACCAATCATGTACTGAAAATTAACTAAGAGACTGAACATGACATACTTATTGATTGTGCAGTCTTTTAAAATTGGTAAACATCATATTGACAGATTTTGTTCAAAATGTATGTTATTTTGCTTAATTCTTTTGTTTTACCACCATTTTCAACTTTTTTACTATAAGACAAACCTTCAATTAAAATGATCGTGTGTTCATCCGACGTGTACAAATTTATATCATCGTCTTCGGTAACAGTTTTGTCGTTTAATGCTCTGCATTTGATGGTAGTTTTGTTCCAATCACTAGTTAGGTTTTGGCTCATTTGAAATTGAAGATTGTTTCTGCAATCGCTTTGTGCTATTTCAGTTGTAACTATTTCATTGGTAGATAATGTAAAATTAACTTCTCCATCTTTTCGGACCAAAAATTCAATTGAACCAGCTGGACTTCCAACATTTCCGGTGCAAGTTAGTTGAAACAGCGCATCTTCTATTGTATTTAATGGTTCTGTCATAGACGGCTTATCTGGTTTTGCTACAAATAACAACAATTTTTTCAGTAAATTCTCATCAATAAAATTACACGCAGTAGTTAATCCGGAAATTTATAAGTATGAAATGGCATGTATCTAACAGTTATCTTTTCCATATCAAAATAACAGAGGCCACTTAGAAACATACTTGTCTAACACTTTGTGTGAATATACTCATAGATGATCTATATTATTTGTCAGTATTTTTTTCAAAACTTCCCTTTTCATACATAGATTACTTTATTGTCTTATTTTTGGCAAACGAGTGATCTACAAAAAATTCCGCATCAGTCATTATGACGTAAATAAATAAATAATAATGTTTTCAAGTGGGTTTAGTTTTTGTAGCATTACAAGAGAGTGTCTCATTACATAATAACGTATAACAAAAAATGCAAATCAGGGCGTCTTTTTCCAATAAAACAGACGAATTTGATTTCCTATTGTGAATTTTGATAGCCGTATTCAAGAAACACCTATACGACTCTGACTTTTCGATTGGTGTTACTTTAAAAATCGTCGCTAGTCTGTTGTCAGAAACAGCAAAACAGAACTACTTTTTGTTTTTGTCCTTGATACGATTTAATCATCCTGTCCTCTTTTGTAACTTTCTGTGTGGTCTTACCATGAGCTAGTCAATAGACGCATGTTGTAAATAATATATGTTAAGGACTTAAAATAAGCCGATTTAACATTTTGTAATATCAAATTTGTTTTAAATAGTCTTTTCTTGTTTGCCCTGCGTTTTTCGTTTTGGGTTTTACTTTATCAACGTTTTACCCTGCGGAGACAGCTCATCAGTTAGTGCTTTAATATGGACATGACAGTTTACCTTCCAAGAGCACCTTTTGATAAAGTTGATTGATCCCTTTGAAAGTTTTACGTATTCCACCATGATTATGTTGACTGTCATTCGATATAATTATTACATTTGCCCATGAATATGTTCTAATTGTTGTACTTACAAACCCGTCATATTTTCCTCGATAATGACATCACCGATATATATTAATCGGCAGTAGGTTGGTAGTGAGGGTGTGGTTAATCGGTAAATAGACTTCTTTATTACTTATGCTATAGTCTCGAAATAACTTTTTGTTCGGTAAACAAAATTAATTTCAGAAAAATATCTTTATCAATTCCTTTATGTCTAGTCGATGTAATTTTGTTTTGGTACATGTAGACATCCTTCCCGTTACAATTTATAATTTGTTGTTTGCTTCAATGCACGGATATGTCATTATTGACGTCTTCGTTTGTTTTAAAAACACATTTCGATCACGATACCAGCGTACTATTGCTCACTGTTAAGGCTTCACTGGGATTTGAGATGAAAATCTGCAAAAACTTACCAATTTATTATGTTTAAGGGACCATGCTTGTTTCATTTCATTGGTTAGGAGATATTTCTGTTTGTTTGCGTTGGTGATGGTAAGGCAGACACTAGTTCTGACAAACATTTAGTGGTTTTTAAAGTTTCAGTCTTGGAAATTTGTATTTGCCAACAATAATCCCTATCCCTTAACATTTAGAATAATTTAAAATGGTTGTAGCTTATACTTAATCACTTTAAATATAAATTGCAAAGGTATACATTCAAATTACATAATCAATAATATAAAAATTATTAATATTAGATTAGGTAAGAATATTTGACATGGTTATTTTTATACAAAATACAAAAATATAAATAACGTTTAAGGGTATAAATAAGGAAAACTGACCAGTTCATTACAGTGAGTTGGTCAAGATTTATTCAACTTATGCTTCATCTTATAGGAGATGATGACATTTGCAACAGAACTAGTTTCATTTTGTTTATAAAAGTTAATGCGATTCCCATTAGTTTTGTTTTATGGTTGATTGTTTAGATCTGTACTTAATAATTGTTGATTGATATATGTAAACTAACTTCATATTATAAAATGTACTAACTTAGTATCTGAAGAATTCCTTCTGCAGGCTCTTGGACTTCTCCAATATATACTGTTATTATATAAGTACCACCATAACCACAAGACGCAACCATTATTTTAATAGTTATTACATTATCAGTCATGCTGATATCTCTATTAGAATCCGTATCCTGCTCTATCGTACGATTACTATAAATCTTTGCTATTGGTATTTGTTCAGAATTATTTTTCCTTTCAACTTTAATCAGGTCGAAAGTGGAATTTACTTCACAAACAATATCTACAGGTCCTGTATCGACGATAGCATAAGATTCATTACAGGAAAGATCTAGGAAATATATAAAATATTTGTATAACCTGTCATTAAAATTAACTTGCTTTTTATTGATGTATTTCATATACATGGCTTTAATAATTTTGTCGTCCCATCATTAGCTATACGCTATAAATAAACTACTACTGTGTTGCTCCTTTTGATATTATCTTTAAGAATTTATTAAAAACGTTTGACTATCATTTTTTTCCATTAAAGATCTAGAGTTTCTCCTCTCTCTGAAGCATACAAAAGTATAACAAAAATACCGAACTCCAAGGCAAATTCAAATAGGAGAAGTCCATAAAAAGTTACAAAATCAAACGCGATCAAGCTACGGAACAAGTACAAAACAACTGCCATATTCCTGACTTGGTACATGCATTTTCCGAAAAAAAAATATGGTGGGTTAAACCTGGTCTTATAGCATGCTCAACCTCCCACTTGTATGCTCATAATTGACCATAGCTTTAAATAGAACTTTGAATAAATTTATTATTAAAGTTTATTCATTTAATACAGAAGTATGATCTTCGAGTATTACTATTATCGGTGCTAACATTGATTTTGTTTTTGATAAATTAAAACATAATAAATATGTATTGCTATACAGATTTGAAAACTTAGTCTTACATTCGATCGACACTATGTGCATATATTTAAACATTATACAACGTCATGCTTTTCCCAGAATTTGTATGCCAACTTTAAACTAAATCTATTTGATGTACACTGAATGATAGTTTAGCCATGCGAACTTGATTAATTTATTAGTTGTAATTGGCGAATGTCTATATAAAAATAAGGAAATGTGGAATGATTGCTATCGAGACAACTATCCATCAAAATTAAAATGAAATGGATGTAACCAATTATATCGGCTCAAAATAGGTGTTTCCAATGGAAAAATGCAACAAAACGTCGAAATAAGCGTAACGTAATCGCGTTATAAGCCGTAAAACTTCAATATTTGACATTTTGCACTACCTACTAGGTAACAAATACACCAAAAACGAAGTCGATGACCCTATGAGTAATTTCTATCAATAAAACGGAGCTATGCATGCAGGAATACATTCATTAATTCACAAGCCATTTCCAAAATTTTATAACAGCAAATTTCAATAAAACAATAACTGCCGTATTAAATAGGTATCATATTCCAGCATTCAAAAGCCCCCAATAAACAACAGACAATGATATTGGAGGTAATGTCATTAGATAAAATTGAAAAATGGAGCTGCAAATGACAGTTTATTGCTCACATCATTTTGCATCTTGTTTACAACCTTGTGACCAACAATAACTACTTATATGAAAGGGCTCTTTAAAGTTTGCAACCCTCCTTAACAATAGTAGAAAGAAAACATTGACCTTCCAACCAGAGTAACAGAAAATGCAGAACACATTTTGTTGAACCAATAAATTCATTATAGATACCAGGATTAAAATTTTGTACGCCAGACGGGCGTTTCTTCTTCACAAAACTAACCATTGCCGCTCAAATCAAACATTTTGAAAAGAGCCAATTAAAGTACGAAGTTGAAGAGCAATGAGGAACTTAAATTCCAACATTCAGCCAAAAAATAATTAAAAAAGATAAGGTACTAATACATAGCTTGAATTCCTCAAAACATAGAGGAAGCAAACGTAAAATGATTCTTTTTTACTTATGCAGCTATTTTTCTTCCTTAAATTGAACAACTTCTTAAGATTAAATTGAATAAATATATCAAGAATTTATCTTTAAAAACTCCAATTTTAGCATAAACTTTGGAAAAGGTTATCAAACAACCATATCAAAACAAATTTGTGTAAATACAGAAAAAACAGTTCAATATTAGAGAGCGACTGACAACGATGGATGACTCTTTTATTTAGAATAACTATACATTGTCTCAAAATAAAAGAATGTATTTAAACTTCCCAAATAGTACATAACGGTATACATAATTTTTCAAGGATGGTCAACCGGAATAAACTAATTACAAAATTACATAATAAAATAGCAAATATCAACTCAATATTCTGCAAGAAAAAGGAAATATTATTTTCATTAATATTGTCAGTCAACTATAGTCAAATATAGTCAGTCAGTGAAATTAGGTTCAAGAAACTAAAGCACGAACAAACAAGATGGTTTTTGATAATGTTTTATACAATTATACACCAAACATCACCTTTACGGACAGTTGACGCCATGTAACTCACAGTACGTATGATTACCTTATGTGAACAGATCATTTCATCTACTTCATACCATAATAGATATATTAATAAGCTTTTTATATCGTTATAGTGACACATTTTTGATCAGAATTTTCAGGATCCCATGACATATGCTATCGAAAAGAATGCAAGTAGTAGTAATTTAGATTTGGAATCTTTAATTTTTTTTTCTTTTTCCTGTTACAAATGTAGTAATGAAGTATAGTTTATTATATTTCTAAACACTGAAACTACCTTAAAAATATTTAATGACAACCCCTAAGGGCAGTATTCGTCAATACTCACATTGTGACTGTTCTATTGGCGACTTGGTAGTTATTATATCTGTAGAAAAAGGGAAAAAAACAATGTTTGATTAAATAGCAAATAAGACTTTAATTATATTGCAACTTATCTGCTTAATTACAGCAGTTTTAGAGTCTACACTGAAGAATACCTCAAAAACAAGATTGATTTATTAAATAAGATATTGTTTTCAAATAGTTATTAACACACTTTAGTTTGAATTTTGTATCTAAAAGATCGTGAAATGAAGTTCAATTTATACTGTTTTTAATAATTCCTTACAATTTTCTTAAATCAATAATAGCAATAGTTACGTATGAAAAGGAAGGGGTGCTATGAATCATTGGAACTAATGTGCGTGATTAGGGCCATAATTTAATATAGTTGACACCATATCAAAACAATCTTCTAAGAATTTGCTCGTTGGCTCTCCATACAACAAGTGACAAAATTTAAAATTTTGCAAAGAAATGAATAAGTAACCAAATTGGAATTTTTGGTAGCTATTTCTTAAAAAAATCCGTTAACGTACACAAAAGTGTAGAATGCAGACAGCAGACGTACAATGACGATAAATTCAATATAAGGCAAACAAAGCAGGAACTTACATAAAGAGAAAAAATATTTTTGGGAACAGCACTTTAAAATAAATCAGCAAACAATAATAATGTTAAAAAGATAAAGGTATATTTACCTGCTGCGTTTTTGCAAGTAACTTCATCACAGTTACCACAAGCGTTTGTTGATTCTGTTCCAAAACAAAGATTCTGTTGCTGGCATGATTTGCTATAGGTAATATTTTTTTCACATTGTATGAATGAGTTACAATTGTATGGGTGCTGGAAGAACGTACGGTTAGCTGTGTTATTTTCGCAGAAATTAACTGAAAATACCAACAACTAAATATAAAACATGTCATATTGGCAAATGCAGTCAATAAAAACTAAATCATATTCTAGCATATCATTACTTGTAAACGAAATATGTGATAAATGTCTTTTCATACAAATATTCTTTAATTTAAAAACGATATCAAATTCAGTATAAAACACTGTATCATTATACAAAGGCATGCGACTGTCTATGTAGGAAAACTTACTCTGAAGTAGTGAAACAGTTTCGTTGTTTGAATAAATCACAGGGTCATCTGGAAACAATTCATGTTTTATACGACATCGAATCACAGCTTTGTCCATATCGGAGGTAAAGGATATCCCAAAATCCGTCTTTCGTTCAATTGAGCATGAAACTGTCTCGTCCTCTTGGGCATGAACAGTGACATTCAAATTTCTAAACTGGTGGTCTCCTTGTTTAAGAATTTCAATTTCCATTGAACCGGCTGGACTTCCTACATCTGCCCTACAACTATGAAGCAACCAACTCCTATAGCCTGTTTCAAGATCAGCAAATTGATCCGGATGAAGTTTTAATACTGCATTTCCATTTGGTTTTTCTGTATCATTAACATAGAAAATGTATGATATATGAGTTAATTTTCCATTTCAGGGTATACAATTGTAAAAAAGGATTATATGTTCTACAAGGACTCTTTGCACACGTAATGCATATTACATACAATTAACAAAATAGTGTTGTAAAATATAAAGCAATGCATTTGTCTACCTGATGCAAATTAACAAATAAACTTTATTAATAAAGCTTTAACTTTTTGAAATTTGAATTTTGTGTTTATTATGTGAGAATTTTTTTTTTCCACTTTTTTCGAAAAATTGGCAGTGCGTTGTAATGAATTCCTTTAAAAAAATAATATAAAAAAGGATAGCAATTTATCAAAAAGTTGATGAAATGTAAGTCGTGAATAACCTTCATTCAATGACATTAATAGTTTTCATGATTCAAATATTTATAAAAAAGAGGTCAGAGTTAAACACGAGGAAACAATATTCAAACAACCATTAGTAAAGTAAAGGTCGGCAAGATTGAGGTATCATTAGATAAATTATTTGAGTTTACTTTCAGTTACTGTAAGCATACAGCAATGTATCATTTAGTATTGTATCAATTATTATCAAAGGTACCAGTATGAAATGTATCAATGCGTGTTTTTGTTGACAATTACATTTATATTAAAGTCAGGTAGTTTTGCGAGACTGATGCTTAGTGTACATTCTTCTATGCATCGTTCGTTATTCTACTGATCGAGATATCAAGAAATTTCGAGTGATTAAAAGTCGTAACTCTGACATATTTGCATTTTCCGGTTATCGTTTGTCAAAACTTAACCATATGTCATCTCTTTCGAAAATCCTAGAAACAATCTAGTGAGAACTGTACCCATCTGAAGAAGGAAATTTATATATTGTCTACGGTACATTATGCTTTTTATTATTAACACTCGATTACTCATTGATAAAAAGACACCGTCACATTATTTACTCACTTCGTTTAGAAGTAACTGGTATTACAAATTTCAAATATGACTAACATAATACAATACATTTAGACTTCAAATTATCTAAATTAAACTTATTATAGGCTTTGTTCCTCAAGAAATTGTTTTTCAATTTAACATTGGCAACATAATACGTACACGAGGGGAAGATTATTTGATTTTCAGGGGGATTGGGTGAGCCTGATGATTTTGAATATATCTTGAACTGGTTACAACTGAAAACAAAACATTTTACCCAAGACATGATGTTTTACTTAGCAAAAGAGATGAAAATGAATAAATTCATCAACGAAAATAATATTTTCCATCAAATCCAAGCGAAGTCCAAATACAAGGGTCAATCACGTATCAAAAAAGGACGCGCAAGTAACGGACTAAAAGGAAAAAGACAAAAGTGTCATACCATATATCCTGTTGTGGGCCGTAGTGACGACAAACGGTGTATTGATATTTTTGCATTAAAAAAAAAACATTATTTCTGTTACACTTCAAGATATTCATTTCTCACTTTAATCGATTGACAAGTCGAATAATGAAATTGTAAACTTTATTTTAAATCATTTACGTGCCCGTGATCTTGCTTGCGTGCGTGTTTTCAAATTAAAAAAATTAAAGTGTACCTTGTTAAACTTTGTGAGATGTAAATATATAAAGCAAAAATGTCTATTGAAGATATTGGACTCACTTATCATGGTAAGCTCTCCTTCTGCTTGTTCTGTGACGTTACTGCTGACATTCACTTCTACACCATATAACCCAACCAGGTAACACGTGACATTTTGCAGAGATATGGTAAGAATGTTTGTTTCAAAAGAAATTGATATTCCGTCCGTGTCATTTAAATCGAATTCATTCCCTTCGCTATTAATGTAAGCCAGAACGCTGATATCAATTGAAGCCCGAAATGTAACAGTAATCACATCATAAGTTGTCACATTTAATTCACAAACGATGTTGGCTGGTCCAGTGTTTTCTAATATAGAAGATCCATTGCAGTAAACATCTATTATGAAATACAACAAACGATGAAACATCTTATTACATCAGTAAGAGATTCTTCTTGCCAAAACATAAAGCAATTAAATTGGTCCGGAATAAAATAAATTACAATAAAGCACGTGTTCTAGAATTTAAAACTGCATTATGTAGTTAAGTCTATACGATATAGTGCTTTGAATAGTTAGCATAAAGAATTATTTAGCTTGATATCTAAGTGAAATAATAACCGATAATTTTACACACGAAATAAACTCGATAATTTCACTCCTATGACGTCATACAACAGGTGTTCACCAGACGTTGTCGATGACGTTGTATCAAAGCAAATATTGAATGCTACGCGCATCCGGTCACTCGTTAAGTATTTTTTCTATATTTTTTTGCAGTTTTAAAAAACTTTCATAAGAATTAAATACGAAGTTTATGTACGACATGAAAAATGTAAAATAATTCAAATGTAAAAATAACGACCTAATTTAAAAAAAAATATGGCAGGTATGAACCAACGACAACAACTGAACTACAGGCTCCTGACGTGGCACCGCCACATACATAAGGTGGCGGGTTTAAACTCGTACGCGAACGCCCAACCCTCTGTTAACCTGGGACAGTGGTGTTACAGCACAACATGAGAACAAACTGTAAAATTCAGTTGAAATTTGCTTTACACAAACGATCCGTACAAGGAATAAACACCACACATAAAGACAATAGACTCGAAGCACCGATATAATATTATAATACTAAGGGTAACTGAAAGCTAGTTCAAAGGCAATTACAACTGATAACTAAATTATGTTTACCGGACTAAAGTATCAATCAGTAAAACATCTAAGATTTAAAATTGAGAATGGAAATGGGGAATATGTACATTTACATTGTATATTTAAAATGTTATTCTTAAAGTTTATATTTAACTAATAAAACTGCTATGTGTAGAGAGTTGCCATCGTAAGCTGTGCATTTCATCGTCGCTAATGCAGCTTTAGTTGCATTGCAGTGGCAACGATTCAAACACAGGCCTGGTCTTTTTTTTCTATTCTAATGCAATACTATAATAATGTGTAATCAATAATAAATAAGTCATTATACAGTCCAATTTTGATTTCAGGCATCAACAGTTTGTGTGAGAATAGAATATATTAAGTCAACAATTCACCTTATTGACATGTGACTAGTTTGGCTTTTTCATTTATTTTGTGTTATTTGATTGATGTCTCCATGAATGTACGGTCAAATGTCTAATTCATACTTGATTGATTTTATAATTGCAGTTAAACATGTACAACTATTCAGAATGGCTTATAATCTATATAATTTTGCCATTCTAACCAAATTTTGTGCTTTAAATATTTTTTTCCAACTGCATGAGTTTCTGTATACTCATCACCTTCATTACAATTATAAACCTTAATGATGTACTTACTTGTAGATTGTTTTAGTGGCGGAAGGCTTGTAGGACAGAAATCCAGATAATCTGTAAAATATAAAGTGACAGATACAACCAATTATTACAATCAAAGTTGTATGTTTAAATTGATATATGGATTGATGGATGGATGGATGGATGGATGGATGAATCTATGGATGGATCGATGGATAGATGATGGTTGGTAAATTAAGGGATGAAAGGATTTATGTATGTATAAACTTAAGCTAAGTTTATATATAATCAAACTATAAATATACAGTTGATATAAGTTCTAACTTCTTTTTAGAACTAGTCGAAATAATTTACCATAAAACTGTTCTAAACTGATCAAGGACAGGACTATAACAAACTGTTACAGCGTAGAACTGTTCAAACCAATTTTATAAATGAACTGTCAGAATCTCTTATAGGTTAGAACTTTTAAGATAAGTTCTATGATAGAATAGCTTCTGCTAGATAATATTCTAAAGGTGACCGAAGAACAGTTCTATAGATTTTTATAAAACAGTTCTCCTGAAAGTAAATAGTCATGTTAGATAGTTAGAACTCAACACGACTGTACAAATAGAAAAATAAAATAACACTTTATAATCGAAGTGCTTTTTTGGAATGACCTCCAATCGGACAAAGCCAAATGTTTGACAGCCACGGATGTTTAGGTACCGAATCTCATGGAGATCTGTATGACCAACAGCTAGCCAAATCTATCTTAGTTAAATTTACGACTCAATAAGATATTATACTGATAAAGTAAAATATACCAATTGTAGGTTTTTATTTTTTTCCTTTTCATTAATAAATAATAAAGTAGATACCTAAAGTGTCCTTGGTACAATTTGAGCTGCAGTTATGTGAACAGGCTCCTGTTTCACTATTTGTACAATGAGCATTTTCACAAGCTTTGCCAAAAGCATACTTCTTTGGTCCGTCTTCTACACACTCTACGTAAACGTCACATTTTTTGGGGTGCTCCAAATGTAATTTTACCTCAGCACAAGAACAATAATTTCCTACATATTAAAAAAAATAAACGTTTTGATACATTTAAATTGACATAATAATTTAATTATATAAAGATGTATCGCTCACTTATCTCTTCAACTATCCTTCGGATACCAAATGACGTAGATGTGAGCAACTTTTCTTATCTTTTGACAAGTGTATGCTTTTGCTTCTTTTTGTCTTTGAGGGTAACTGAACATATCATCTAAAATTTACCTCTTTCTGATAATACAATTTGCAATAAAGTAGGTATGGCATGTTTCAGGAGCCTCTGGCCTTTGTTAGACTTGTATGTTTTTTAATTTTAGTTCATTTATATGTTTTGGAGTTTAGTGTGACGTCCATTTTCACTGAACTAGTACACAATTTTATTTAGGGGCCAGCTGATGACCACCTCCGGGTGCGGGATTTTCTCGCTGCGTTGAAGACCCATTGTTGGCATTTGGCTGTTGTCTGTTCTTTGGTCGGGTTGTTGTCTCTTTGACATATTCCCCATTTCCATTCTCAATTTTATTCAATATTTAGCTTTAAGTGTTCTTCGTTAATGCTCAGTGCATCAATGTACTAGAGAAAAACAATGCTTATTTTCATTAACATAAGGGAAAACTATACTGAGGTTGTGGGCATACAACATGATAATATTAAGTAGTCATTATCTTTGAATTCACAAAATGCTTTCACAAATAATTTGCTTTTGCTTATTTCATTTAAAATGTTAGTGTCATGTTAAAGGTGAATTCTGATTATCTTCATTCATAAATTATCTTAATATATTTTGAAACAGCAGGTATTTTTTGTTTAAATGAATCCATTACTTTATTATGTAGATCTTGTAAAGTTTTACTGTAAAATTTTTGTTATCTATCATATTACAGTACTATAAGCAGAAGATTCATGATTTAAGGATAAGATTTTCATTGTTTGTTATATGTCTAACAAAAGCAAGTATTGAAGAACGCGTAATCATATGTAAAAACGTACGAGGAATCAACATAAGCTGGTCACTCACAGTAGCACCAAGGTATGCACTTTCACCACTTTCAGAAATGCGGCAACGAAGTTTTCCTGCGTCCATTTCTTCGTTAAAGAGTAAAGCAAACTCCAACCTTTGTATTGTGCCACATTCAATTGACTTATTAATTGAAGATACAATCTTGATGTTCCCATCAGGTATATTTGTGAATTCCGTTTTAGTAGAATACATAATATCTATAACCCAGTGTTTAGGTGGATGTCCAACATTTCCTTCGCATATATGTGTGAACCCTGCTCTGTAAAAATTACCGTCGACAAATTCAAGACCAATAACTTGGTCGGGATCTAATGTTAATGTAGGGTTGTCTGGTGGACCTATATTAACAATAATAATACTAATATCAAATGGCTTATATCGTAATGAATATGCAAGTATGTCATTAGAATAGTGTTCCAATTCATTTATTTTAGTTATTTTTTCAGTATCTGATAAAATATTTTATGAAATGAACCAAAACAAAATCTGTCTTATATATAAATGAGTTCATATGATTAATTTTCAATTTCCAACCGCCTGTTAATTTTAGGACGTAGACGTTCAACGCCGTATGATTTGAAGATACACTTGAGTCATTTCACAAGTGATTGTTCAGAGGAACTGATCATTACAACTCGAAGTTTGACCACCACTACCTAATGAGATTAAAGAGTGTGTATTTAAAATATTTGCTTTGCTTTAGAATTATTTTCAAATACTCACAATTCTTCTTTGCTGTGGTCGTGTCCTTTTAGTTTATTTATTTTTTGTTTGTTTGTTTTATGTTGTTGTTCTTTTGTTGTTTCTTTTGTGGTCATAAAATATATTTCTCTAATGTTGTCAAAACATTTTCACAACCGATTGTGAAAAAAAAAATGTTCTCCTCACTAGTGAAATAATTGCTCTCGGCAAATATAAGTCGATATTTCAAATATGACGTCAAATTTACTTGATTTCTTCTGAATTTCCTATTGTGATGATGAAAAAAGGCGACTATACCTGGTGACGTCACATATAAAAAACCTAACTTTCTGCAAATATTTGAAAGATTTCTGCAAAAGGAAGGATAAACGTGTTTAGATATCGTCTTAAAATCATCAGAGAAACAGATTTCACCACTATATCTCGTGTATTACGATATTTCTACACTCTCAACAGTTTAATTTTGAATATTTAAAAAGCTCGTTAAGCCTCGAGTTTTTAATTTTTAAAATTTAACTGTCTCGAGTGAAGAATTATTGTAATAGGCCAGTTCCGGGATACGGTAGTTAGTTGAATCTGTCATGTGACTTCCATCACCACGTGACGAAAATTTAAGCATCGTCACTCCCAACGCATGTTGAGCGAACGGGTGAAAAAGTTTGATCTTATACTGCACAAAATATTTAGAAATCAAAATTAAATAAGTTGGTCACCCTCCCTTAAGTGGTACGGGAATTAAGATTACGTACCTAACATAAATTATTTCTTAAATACCCTGAAGAATGACGATTCTGAAAGTGCTTGAAACTTTAATAGAGCAGGGATATAGGTACGCCTTCTGACTGGTATATGACGTCATAAAGGCGTGCGAAATTGACGATATTTTCCGGTGAAAGACATGTTTCGAGAAATGGCCTATTCACTTGATGCAGTGGTAGAATCTATATTTCTCCGGGTTAAAAAAGTACGATTTAATAATATGCTAAGTAAGACTTACGTGTTACGCTTAAATATGTTTTGTCTGTCCTAAGCTGGTCCAATTCACCGGTAATTGAATTTATTTCAATGAAAGAAACATGGTAATATCCACCCATTAATGCTGAAACTTCTTTTAATGTTATTACTATATCTGTTTCGTTTAATATTGCAACATCAATGTCTTCATTTGAGGCATTTGCTGTGTGTACTGTTCCATTCAGATATAAAAGTATTCCAAAGACTGTATCATTTAACCCATCACCGTGATAAATTCCTATCAACATATTATCAGTTTGCTCCGGTGCCTTAAATTTACAACGCATTACTACTTCAGAGCTGGAACACAGTGTTGCTTTTAGTTCGTTGTCGCAAAATATACCTGAAACTAAATAGAATACATTATATTAACATCCTGAGGTTTCAATAGTCGTAGTAATGCAATGTAAACATGGACGACTTAACTTATGTTAATTCCAAAATATACTTATGTGTAACCCACTAGAGCACGGGAATCATAGAAACAAATGTAATGGTGAAATTTAGTAGTAATGAAAGTATCAACCTTGAGTAAGAAAATAATGTTTTCATTACAAGTACCTAAAATAACTGACTATGCGAATTCAACTTTTAGAAACTGACTCCATATTTGTGGTAGGAAAATATAATTACAATTTTAGCCCAATGCTAGATTTTACCTACAAAATGTTTCTTCTCTGAGCTAGTTTAAAATGGGCGGAATTATCTTTATTTTTGGCTATTACGTCTATTGGATTTTCAGTCTCAAGAACGCACCATTTTAATAAACCACGAAACCAGGACGATTTCAGCCATTGTTTTTGTAGAGAAAAATGAAGATTGATTATTCCACATGTTCGGTTGATAGTGATTTATTAAACTAATTAAGGGCTATCTATTTATTTATTATCAAATTAGAATTCAATTCTTTCTAAATAATTAGTATGGTCGAGGTCCTTATATACTTTTATAATGTATTTACGTGTAACGATGTGTTGTTATATATCAGACATCCTGTTAGTACAATTGTGCTCAAATTCAATGATCTGTGGTGACCGAGGATCGAAATGAAACAGCTGTTGGATAAACAGCATTTGGTCGAGAAGACCTGGAAGCTAACAGATCACATGGCAATGTATCAGTTTGGGAGAATTCGAATGTGTGCTGTATTTCTCATTACAGCAGAATCAATGCAGCTACTTGTTGAGAATGATAATTACAATATTAAAAGATACATAATAGTTCGAATGGAATAAGGACGAAGACAATGTGTGGATCAGAATAAGTCATGTCAAAATGATAAATAGAATTTAGAAACTACAATAGAATAAGCATACATTTAATTGTGCTAGTTATCTTTTTTCATATATGTAAACAAAACAGCTGGAACGTAATGTTCGAGCAAGTACAAAATGTCCTCGATTAGTCCAACTTTTATATGAAATGGTACTATATAAGCCACATGTTCGTATACTACGTATTTGGATAAGTACAACAAAATAGATCAATGGTCACTTAATGACTTGCATGGAAGGAGTTGAACTGCAAATCTCTAAATTTTCTAGTGATTTGGGTTTTTCTATTTGAACTTTCTGTTATTTATACAACTGCTCGTGTGTCAGTACTTTATAAGTGTTCCAAACGGTTGTTTCCTAGATATTACACGTAAACAGCACCAAATGAAATGCATTAAAGTTTGATTTGTACAGGTTACATGATGATATTTTTCAGCTTTACTTAAATACACAATTTTGGAAATTGAAACCCATTGATAGACAGATTAAGTGTTGATCGAAGTTTTACCACTAGTATTTTGAGTATACATTAAACTCACCATGTGCTGATGCAGACAAAAACCCTTGCGTTTTAGCAATTTCAACACCTGAGCTGTTTACGAGTATTATATCGTAGGTTCCTAATACTTCATCTGTAATATTTCTGAACGTAAATGTTAGTGATGTGCTGTTATCGAAATAAACGGTGATATCTGGATGACCAAGTACATCATCATCTGTTGATCCGTTTATAAATATCCTCATTATGAATAAAGAAGAGCTGATATCTCCTAGTTTGATTCCAATCTGATTGTATTGGTATGCATTGCCAATGGTGCATGTCATTATCTCTGGTCCCGAGTAAAGATTTGCTGTTATATTGGTGCAAGAAAAGACTGAAAAATAAAAGAAACTAGAAATGAACATATTGTCTTTTATGATGACTAATAATCTGTAAGTATGAATTGCAATCTCGTCTGTCTAAATAAGATGTTACTTTCATGTTGTAGTTTACATTTTACATTTTATAACATGTCTTAGTTATTTCTATCATTAAAATGTAAAAACACAGATACATACTTCTTCCTTACCGACAATTGTTCAAAAATCGAATTCGTCGTCGGTTCGGAAACTTTCACATTAAATAAGTAAATGTACTTGCATTGCTAACGATTTACGAAATTGTCTTCTAAAATATTTTTGGGAAATATCTTGAACAACCGTTCCTTACAAAAGGCGCGACAAATTCTCAGGGAACATTCAAAACTTATCTGACAAAGCTATGGCAAAACACGAAAGCCGACAAAAAGATCAAAAATACACTAAACACTGCATATACAACAAACAGTTTAACAATATAACAAAACGGGTGAACGAAGACCGTAAATGAAATGTATTGCCCTTTTATTCCGTCATATGTTTATGATTTGTATGAAAACAAACGAAGACTATATAATTATAACCTCAACCTGTCGTATTAGCTAACACTATTTTTCACATTGTTTGTATACTTTGTTTAGACGGTTATGCTTTAAAAATATCGGAACCTGATTACCCTGAATATGTAGTTGACATGTATACTCTAATTACTGGTAATTGAAACAAATATGCAACAATTAAAACTTAATCCAATATATAATTCATGTATGATGATTATCGAAATTTGGTTATTATTTTGAAGCTTTCTACTTTGAAATCGAAATCTTCATTATATATTAAATTCATTTAACTAATTACTTTCGCTCGGAATGATACTGCTTTCCTCCTTTCTTTAAAATTTCTGCGAAGTTTTTTTTTAGTTTTACTTTCAGATTCAAAGTTTCATTAATATATATATATTTATATATTTTCGAATATCTGTTTATATAAGAGTTTAATGCTGTGTTATTGAACATTTTAATTAAATGAAAGCAAGTGATGATCACATTTTGAACAACAAATCTGTTCGCGCTTTGTGAAAATTGTGCAGGTCACTTGCTTTTATGTTGTATGAATTTAAAACAAAAGCATTTAATACTAGTATGCATTACTGTACATATATATTTTGAATATATTTATTTGGTATAAATCAGTAATCTAGAATTTCATTAAATAGAATGATCCATAGAAGTGTTAAAGGGACGAAGAAATAAAAAAAAGGTAAATCGCGTCAAATAAACAAAATCGTATATGCAAATGAAATGAAAAGAGGGGCGAAAAATGCCAAAGGGATACTCAAACCCATAAGTCGAAAAGAAACTGGCAATGTCATGGTAAAACATGTAAATTGATCAAACGGCAAACAATAATACACAAAACAATACATAGTAAACTTATGACTGAGAAACAGAAAACACCTCCAAAATTCTTGGGTGATCCCAGATGCTCCGGAAGAGTGAGAAGATTTTGCTCCTATGAACTGTTAATTATATACTAGTATTGTAAAAAATTGTTAAGTTTTTTTTTCAATTTTTGTAATAACTCAAAATATTAAACGACCTATAGTCAAAAAGAGAAGTAAATAAACGTTTTTGAATTTGAATAAAATTATAAAAAAAACGCATCGGTCGGTTGGATTTTTTAAGGAACTATTTAACAAAAGGCGCATTCAATGAAAAAAAATAAGTGTATTGAAATCAACATTATACCTAATCGTTTGTTAGAAGTGACTTATATTTCTGAAAAAAAAAAAAAAAAAAAAAAAAAAAAAAATTACTCGATATTGCTTACCGAAAGATTGACTTTCTGTACTTGAACTTGTTTGTTCAGTTGATGACAAATCAGTTGTTTCCATAGTAGGTTTTTCTGTTACAGTAGATGAATAAGATACTTCTTTTGTCAACTTTTCGGTGGAAAAGACGGTAGGCATGGATGTCGTTTTGTCTGCTGTACTTCCTTCCGTCGTTGTACTGGTCGTTGTTATGGCAGTTGTAGTTTTTCCTTCTGTTGACATTGAAGTCATTGTTGTATTCTCGTTGCCCGTTGATTCAGTAATATCAGATGTCGTTTTTATGGTTGAAGATGTAGTAATTTCTGATGTTGTTTCTATAGTCGACGATGTAGTTATTTCTGTAGTGGTTTCAGTTGGCCTACTTCCGAAGGTTATCAGATCCTCTGATATTAATGTATTCGGGGATGTAGTATATGTTAATGACGTTGTCTCTGTTGATTCAGACGACATTTCTTCTGTTGATGAAATAATATCCAATGTCGATACATTTTTCGGTGTGGATATTATGGAATACGTTGTTGTTTGTCCTGATGTTTGATAAGTTTGAGATATTGGTGTTTCTTTTTCCGTAGTGTTTATTGTCATTGATGGTGTTGTTGTATTGTCTGTCGATGAGTTTGTTTCTGGTGTCGTATTCGTTTCAAATATATTCCCATCTGTTGTCTGAGTAATCTCAGTCTTTGTTATAGGTAATGTTGATTCATCTGTTAGTAGAATAGTTGATGCTGTAGTTTCATTTGTTAAATCGGCAGTTGATAAAGTAGCATCTGTTGTTGTTACTGTTCTTTCAAAGGTCGTTGTTTGGTCAGTTGGTGAAAAGGTTTGCATATTATCAGTTTGCCCTGATAATCCGGAGGAAGTCATAGTCATTTCGACCGTTGTTGTGATATCTACTGATGTATCAAAAATTAAAGAGATTCCATTAGACAGTGCATCTGTTGGAGTATATCCATAAGAATTAGAAGTCGAAAGTTCAAAGGAGTTTGATTCCAATTCTAAATACTCACTCGTCGTCGTCAATACTTGATCCTTATCGATTGACATTGAAGGTTCTGATGACAGTATCAATGTCTGCATATATGATTTAATCAGCGTCACGGATTCCGTCTGAGCGATAGGAACAGTTGTAGAAATGGCGGCGAAGTTAGATGTCTCTGATGGCGAAGAAAAACTGTTCTTAGTTGTTTGTTGTTCTGATTGTAAAGATTCAGTGAACTGCATTGTTGTTTCCATCGTGAGTAAATAATCAGTTTTTGAAGACGGCATTATTTGTGACTGCAGAAAGGTTGACTCTAGTGTTGATATAATTCCTGAAGTTTCAATTAAGCTTAGTTCTAGCGATGATACAGAATTGGGGGCAGTTACTCCTTGCACTGTAGGTGGGGCTGTTAAGATTTCCACTGAAACGGAATATACAACTATTGGTGGTTTTATTACTAAGGGTCCCAACTGCGATGACGACACATTCAAATAATCATTTAGAATCATCTCCGCCTCGCTTTCAACATCCGTTAGGGGAGTACCAGTAAAATAAATGATGTAATTAACGGAAATACTTCCGCTTCTACAAAGAATTGAAATAATGTTATGAATGATGTGTGGAACATTCTTGTATATTTACTCTTATAATTTACGTTAAAGTGGATCGTGTGCCTTAAACTGTCGTCATTCAAAATTTCAATATTTGTGTTTTTTAATTTTTATAAATAAAAATTATTGTAATGCATATTCTCCTTTCACGATGAGAATACATAAGGTATCCATATTATACTGATAGCTTTCAAAAACTCAATTGTCACTGTTTTATACCGCGTCATGTGATTTTGACCGGTCCTTCATATGCCAACCTGCTATGATGATCACTTATGAAACTTTATATTTTATATACAAGGTAGACAGCTTTTAATTATGTTAACGGTAGAAAGAATGGCGAATATGTTTTTCTTCTAATACCATTATCATATTTCTAAAAATTTCGTTCCTGCATATGTTGTTTTTATACAGGGACAAACTTGCCCTAAAATGTCCGGTTCCTAAAATAAGATTTTCGATTTTTATTTGAACCTTTTAACTTTTTTGATTCGAGCATCACATGAGGAGTCTTTTGTAGACGAAACGCGCATCTGGTGTACAACCTTTTAATCCTAGTATTATAGTATCTATGATGCGTTTATTTACAACCGAAGACATTGTAATAGACGTGTTACGTTATACTCGACGCTGAGGTTGACAAATAAGACTTTTTACACTGCAACTAGTTGTGTTTATTTCCTAAATATAGTAACAAAGCTATATTTTGTACAATGTCAATTTCATCATGGATCACTTTTTCCACAATCAGGGGTTCATTTAGGGATGAAAATAAGTTTGAAATTTGTGTTACAATTTAAATAGCTATCAATGTATTGATTTAAGTTGCAGTATAAAAACAATAGTAGGTCAATGTCAGAAAAATATAAACTTTTTTGTATTCGGCACAAAACTGGGGAAGGGCTCGGTAAAACCTCGCCCTTCCCCAGTTTCTCAGCCTCATACAAAAAAGTTTATATTTTTCTGACATTGATCTGTTATTGTATATAAATGCGGGGACTGTTTTCAAAACATTGATTAACGATTAAACCGGTAAAATTCAATTTGCGTGATGTTAACAAGGTATACCACACTTTTTGATTCATTTAAAATTAAATTAATTTAGAATCATTTTCTGATATCATTGCTTATGATTACTGGACGGAAAAAGTGTACGTGTGTGCGGAAGAGGGGTTTGATGGCTTTTCAATTATGCACTTCTAGATTAAAAAAAAATAACATAATAAGACACTTTGATTATTTTTATATTAATAACTGTTCTTAACTTGATAATTTGTCACTCCACTACTGAATTTCGTCATGAAAACCTTAAATTGCAAGAAATATTTGTCACTCGACGAGAAACACAAAACAATCATGCAGTCTCTGTAAAACCCGCACAAAGCTCTACAGGTTTTTTTTTTTGATGTCTCTATACGCTTCCATCAACTTTGAAAGGTTTTAAGCGCATATTATCGTTTATACTCGACACCCGAACGATAATCACAAGTTCATTTTTTCGTTACATTCTTTCTGCTCTTGGTCTACATTTAGCTTTAAGTTTATGACGCCTATAAAGGGTAACGAGCGGAGAACGATATGCGATATATCCTTTTTTTTTTACCTAAAATGACAAAATCCTCGAGGAAATCTAATTCCATACCTGGCTAATTAAAGTCAGTAAATTAAACTGTTGGGCATCATCCTGTTGTCCTATGAAACTACTGCGGGTGAATTTTATATGATTCCTATTGTACACAAAAACCTGCGAAGGTATGGAATACCGGTATATGGAGTAAAATTGTGCCCGAGGCTCCGTGTGTGGTCTGTAAATGGCACGAACATTGCTGTCAATTGAAACTAACGCTGTGGGCATTTTTTGCCACCCTCTACGTAGTTGTTACCAATTTTACTATTGTCGAATAAAATGTATTTAGTGCATAGATATCACAAAGAATGGGTATCTAAGCTTCTATTTGTGGACTTGCAGCATGAACAGAAACTTAAAAGAGAAATATGCAGGAAAAAGTAGTCACATTTTACATAAATGCATTCGAAGGTATATGACAAGGAGTACTTTTCTGACTTTTTGAAAGGTTGGTCAAACGGTTAAGGCAATTTCATACCTCAGATATTACAATGCGAAATGTTTTGATACTTTGCATGAATATGTATAGGATGTCTTTTTACAAAGATCCTTATTTCGTTGAGTCGAACTAGTCACATTTTACATGAAAATAATATAAGGGAAATTAAGCTTTTCCTAAGTAGGTACATGTATTAACAGATTATTATGTATAAAATCATTTCCAGGGTCTAAACAGGCCTAGTGAGACCCTAGATGCGTCATGTTGGTCATATGTGCAATTGCCCAAAAAATCACAAAGTTTCAACTTCTGAAGAAAAAAAACAAAAAACAGCAAAATATATCCAAAATGAATCCATAAAAAGAGTAGCCATTTTCTATGTATAGACATACATTGTTCAAAGTAAAAAGCGCTTAGGTTAGGAGTTTATTAATCAAAACGGGAATCCCTCTTCTTCTGCTCGTCTGCACATCCACCCGCCCGCCAGCTGGATTGCATCATATTATATAATACGTCGGTTCAGCATTGTGTGTAACCCGTCCAAAAGTTCGTACCTCGGGTAAACACCCCTTTCATTAAATGGTCTGTTGTTCAAATACATATTGCTTTAATTTTTAAGGGATGGCTGGGGATTTGTTTCTCTCATCCATTACTCTTTTTTCTCCGGCTTTCTTATAGATTTTATATCTTTTCCGCAATACCCTGGAATCCTGTTAGTGTTCCAAAAGGAAGAAATAGTTTGGGATTGACCATTTTTATTTATTGAGCAATACTGAAGAGACATTTATTGTCGAAATGCGCAACTGGTGCAGAAAAATTGGTATCGTTAATGGTATTCATTCCTCACGAAATAATTATTATGGAATAACAATTTTATTCCATAAGGAATATTTATATAATGAAATTGTATATACTTAAGTTTTCAAAGGTTCGTCTGTTATAAGGAACAAATATACGTGGTCATCAGTATTATGCGGTTTAAATTCAAGATTCAATTGATATACAGGTAATTTTAATCTTTAAATCACTTTTGTGTTTTGATACGATACCCGCATTTAAAGTATAATTTGTCAACCTCAGCGTCGAGTATAAAGCATTTCGTAACACGTCTATTGAAATTTACAATACAAATGTATTGTTTCGTAGAATAATGTAAAGTCATTGTACCAAGTAAGATGAATACATATAGACGTTTACTTAAATATAGTAAATAAATTATAATGGTGCATTTATGCGAGAAGTTATACGTGTGCAGTTCAATGTGCTTACTTAAGACCTGAGACCTTACATCCATGGTAGCCTTGTAAAGAATTGTTGTTGTAAACATTGCCTATCTGAAAACAAAAAAACAAAAGAAAACAACACATTAAGTCTTATATAGTTCAAAAATCAGGAAAATGAATTTGTTTTCTGTCAAATACATCTTGATAAGCTGTAGTTGATGCATGTAACGCACGAGCGTTTTCGAAATGTTGCAGAAATAACAGGTTAGATAACAGATAAATTGAGGAGACCTTTTTTACCGCGATATGACATTTTTTTAAGGGCACTTCCCTTCCCATTTTTATTTGAAATAATTTATATTTAATTTAAAATTTGTTTAAATATTAATATATTTTTATCTTTAAAATGTTTTTACATAGTCATTAATATATCAAAACAGGTGGTTTTAAATGATTTAATGCTGGTAGACTTACCAGCTTATTATAAGAAACCGACAATAGTGTTTGTATACAACTTATTTTTGTGAGCGAGTAGAAAATAACGCAAATAAGAATCGTCGAGAATATGTTAAACTTCGATCTTCCATTCTATAAATACATCAAGAAAATAAGAAAATCGCAATAAATGAATCGCCGCAAAGTTGGTTAGAAATGGCTAAACGCGAAATTAAGTATCCGCAAAATAAGTTTGGTTTACAGTGTTCGAAACTCTTTGTTTAGTTCATAAACAACATTATATATTGCTGATAATTTTCTTATAATACACGATCGGTTTGTTGAAAAATATTACTTCCAGTGTATAGCTGGCAGTATTTCATAAAATCTTTGCTAGAATTATTAATAAAATTAAGTTAATGAATGCATTGAGGGAAAAGATTTATCATAGAAGAAATGTATCCTTAATCATTTCCAGAAATGTGCTCAGAGGTTGCCATGTACAAAACAACGGGTAACAATAGTAAATCAGTAATCATGATTTTACTGACAGAAAAAACAAGGTGATGTAAACGTTGTCTTGCTAAGCATGTCCCAACTTGTAATTCAAAGTATTTGAAACGGGGTGTAGGTGTCTGATAGGTCTGAAAATCGTATACAAGTTACAAATTATAATTGTTGGGCTGCTGATCTGATATGAAGTTTTCTGTTCAGTAGCATTAGAGAAATGTGTGATGAAAAATGTAACGGTCATTCAACATAATCATTGAACAATTCAAAGAATCAGAAACAGGTATCCGAAAAGTACTCACAATCACGTTGCTGACTTAGTATGCAGTCTTTCTGTTAAGCAGTTTCTGTGAAAAATGTATCAACTACATTTATTTGACGAACAAACGCGCTGAAGGACAAACAGACGGACGGACAAAGGCGATTGCAATATGGCCACAAATCCTAAATTGAGATGACTTGTAGGAGAATGACAATAATTTTTTATGTTATTTGTGAACAGTCAAATGCTTGGCGGCCATATTATTGACTAAGAGTTTGGCCTAGTTTGGTTGCCGGTTGTTATCTTGTGAACCAGATGTCTGACTTTCACTAAACTTAGATAGTAAATGACCAATTGAAAATTAAAAAAAAAGCTTGATTTTAGTGTCGAAAAGTCAAAATAACAACACATATTTTTATACTGAAACTCTGGAAAATCGATGGTATCCAAGTGCTATCTTTCAAATCATATGTTCAATACTTCAAAAGGTGTTTTGTAATGCTCAGTGAAGTCAAAGACTACTTTATTTTGGATTTTCTATTTAAAATATCAAGATCATGACAGCGATAGATAGATGGCAATTTTGGGTCAGATGTTCAACGGTCAAAGGTATTTAGGGGGACTAAAAGCTGTGGAAAAGTTCTGTTATCGGACAAATGTGTTTGAGTCACAGTTGAAATTTACATAATATACTGTTGACGATAATGCGCCTTGTGTGGCAAATGTCCCGATTGATTTTAGGTTACTAACTCAAATTTTTATGTTATATCAGCAATTTGTGAATGTTTGAAATTTACCAATTTTCGCATATCATTTCAATAAATTGTCAGCAGAAATTCTTTTTTTAAAATTATACTAGTCACAAAAGTATGTTTTTCCTTCTACAAATTCGTAAAAGTCGCCTATGCACTCTGTTATTCTTTAATATTCAATCCAAAATGGATTATGTCTTCGTACTGAAGCATACATTTAAATTGTCAAGTCATCCAAAATCGTGTAAACAAACCTATATTCTGAGTAATTATTTTCGGTTGTCAATATCAACAGTTTTGTCACCCGTTGCCATGCAACGTATTTTGCTAGTCTGTCAAATTCCCCACAACATCTTGCTATAATACCAAATACATCTTCTTTCAGCCCTTAATATTACACTTAGGACGGTGTAAATTAAATGCGGGTGTTATTTTGACTTGCGAATGCACTACTCGTTCTTACCACAGAAATATAAAAAATAATTAATCATATTTTGTTTGAAAAACGTGGCAAAACAAAAATATGAATGACTTGTACGTATCCATTTATAATAATTGACAACTATTATTTAAAACAAAAACGCTCTGATTTAAAAAAAAAAAAAAAAAAAAAAAAAAAAAAAAGTAGCTAAGTATCTAAAACGGACACCGTGGCCCCGATGGCCAAGTGGTCATGGTCCACATTGATTGGTAGCCTGTCAATACTGAGGTTATGATTCCAAATGCTACTTCGGCAAGGTACGTTTGCTAGTTTTCCTGCCGTATCTAGATACTCCGGCTTTTTCCACCAATAAAAACTTGCCGCAATGATTAAGTCAAATGTACTTAAAATGGCGATAAATACTAACAACAAATTAAACAACCCGAACCAGACGATTTGTTGATTACACGACGGTAGCTATGGAAGTACGTACTCTTCTGATGCACTGAATTTATTTAGGAAATCTGTATTTTCTGTTTTGAGCTTTATACAATAATAAATAAATTTGGTATATTTACTGTCTTCTGATTGGTTAAAAGTATTACCTTTATTTTCAATGTTGTCAATTTTTATGGCGACACGCCCACTCTGACGTTGTGTATTCATACGCCAACATGTGTGTACGTTGTTATTGTTAATATAAATAATATAAAAAGCTCTTTGAGCCTTATTTTTGATAGAAATTTATTTGTAATGAATGACAATAATTTATTTTGAATTTATTGAACCATAAAATTAATTGTTGACTCTTCACATTTTACATAATCCGCTTTGCGGATTATTCAATGTGAAGAGTCAAAAATTAATTTTATGGTTCAATAAATTCAAATTAAATAATAGTCATTCATTAATTGCAAAATGATGAAATGACGTTCGATCGGGATCAAAATGGTTATCTGGTTTGGGACGGGACAGAGGTGACGAAGCAGGAAAATGCTGCCAAATCTTGAGAACTGCTTTGTGAAAAGGGATAAAGATAAGTTCCACTTTAAAAATAAGGAGATGTGGTATGATTGCTAATGATACAACTATCCACCACAGTTCAAATGAAGTGGATGGTTGGTTTTCATAGACATTGTAAAATGTGTGTTTGAACTGGCTTATCTCATACCTCATAGCAGAACTCGTCTGTGAATGATTTGTAATCTTGAGATCGAGAATTCGTCAATGTCTGAGTAAACGTCCTGTCGACTTCAACTGTCATATTAACTCTGACTGAAAATAAAATTTAAAAAATGGTGAACTTATCATCATATATTATTAAAAACTGTGAAAACCGATTTTACATATATAGGTTATAATATTAGTATTTAATTCATTAAAGCAGGAAATTAGGTATTTACTTCAATATATTCTTAATATTAATTTCTAATGGACTAAGTGTACTGTTTTACGTAGACAAATAGACCATTATTTTACACGTCTTATTTATGCGAGCTTTTGTCAAGCTTTACAAACAAATACTCTTTATACTACATGTATCTGTAATGTGCAATACTCTAAAGTGCTACCATCGCACATCCAACCTTAAAGAATAACTGGTGGTTGAATATAAAGCCAAAATATCTACTATAAATGTGTTGTTTTTTTTTAGTTGTCAGGAACACTACTACTAATATTGTTAGCTAAAAAATTATAAAAAAAGCTTCAGATTTGATTAGCTTACTTTTTTTTATTGTACCAAAACACGAACTTCAAGTTTCTTTTACGTTTTGTTAAATTAAAAAAAAATGCTTAATAATAAAACGAAATATAAATTAGAATTTAAGTCGTTAAAACAGAAGTCAAACACAATAAGCAAACAAAACGGAAAGACAAGATAATTCCGGCTTTACTTACTTTACTTAAAAGACATTGTAATATAAAGAAGAACTTATCCCAAATTTCAATTATGGAAGAAAAAACCATTAAACTAGTGACCAAAAAGCTCTACCCGCATTTAGGAATTAAAAATGTGTTGTTCACTTAGGCAATGATTTTGTTCGTTTCGTTATTCGAATTAAGCCTGTGATTAGTTTTTCAAAAATGAAGCCTATCACAATCGGTGAAACAACAAAGAGTAAATAGAAATATCTGATCATAAATGTCATTCTAGAAAAGACTTAGTACTTTAAAACAAAAATCCACAGTAATACCAACATGCACGATTTACAAAGAATTGTTAGCATTGTCATCAAACGTTACATAATACAACTAACTATGGAACGCCACAGCTGTCTTATGTGGAACTCTGATATAACGTTATGTTGTTTTATTATTACTTGAGGATATTTTGTCTTTATATAATATGGTTTTGACATTACGTAATGATGTTTTGATATCACTCAATATGGATTAGTCATTACTTAATGATATTTCGATATTACACGATATGGTTTCGTATTGACTTGGGGCCCTTTATAGCTTGCTGTTCGGTGTGAGCCAATGCTCCGTGTTGAAGGCCGTACCTTGACCTATAATGGTTTACTTTTATAAATTGTAACTTGGATGGAGAGTTGTCTCATTGGCACTCATACCACATCTTCCTATATCTATTGATATAGTTTAGTCATTACTTAATATGGTTTTGTCATTATTCGATGTGGTTTCACCATTATTTAATGTGGTTGACAAAAATAAGAAAAAAGTACTAAAAAATTAACAGTATTTCGGACATAAGAGGGATATCCCCAAACCACTTGGTCCTGCCGTTTTTTCCTTAGTTCTCAAATGGAAGCAGTATTATAATAAATTCGTAAAAGACTCCACGGAACCCTGTGTCTCAACTGATATTGCTGCTGTCAGTGTAAAAGCGTAATGTTGACTGTACATTTATTGGTACATTTATTGGTAAAAAAAAATTTTTTAAAAAATGTTTTTTTCTGTAGATGCTTTATCTTGATCTTGAAGAATAACTCCTATACAAGTTTTATAACAATTCATGTCAAAACAGTTTAATTCGGTAATATTTAATGCAAAAAAACCTTATATAAAAATAAGAAAATGTGGAATGATTGCCAATGAGACAACTCTGAACCACATACCAAATGACGTAGAAGTTAACAACTACATGTATATGTGACTGTATGGTCTTCAACAATGAGCAAAACCCATACCACATAGTAAGGATCTTTATTCTTTCATAGAATTCAAATTAAAAGTGACAACATGTTTACGAAATCTGCTAAGAGTTCAAATCATACATGAATTATCATCACTGGAGACAAGTTAAAACGTAGCCTGGGATCCTTGCTCATTGCTCGACAGTACTCGAAAAGGAGCTAAGGCTAGAATAAACGCTACTGCATAAAAATTATATATATTCTTTAAAAGTCCTAAGTTAAGACAAGTCATGTTTGTCTTTAATAAGGAAGTTACCTCATTAGGTAAGGGATCGGATTTATTCATTCTATCAAATGGCAATATGTTTTTTTAGGAATCGATATTAAAAAAGACTTTCATTGAAAGGAGGTGGATAAAATATCATATCGTTCTATTTTCTGAATAACACAGATTCAGTTTGGTCGGAATGAGGAATGTAAGTGATAAGATTAATCGTTAATAAAAGTATAACATAGATATTCTTAGAGACAGCAAAATTATAAGTTCTGGGCTTTGTCGTTGGGTTGATGTATTATTCCTTTAATTCGAACGCACTTTTAAATTCATATTGTATTGTTCGTTTAATTTACTCACCATAAAGTTTTGAAGAATCCTCTAAAATATAAATACAACAAATTTAATGCAATCGTTAACTTTAAAAATCATGAATATTCTTAATGGTGGAGTGAATATGAATAAAACATGTTTAAACGAAATATTTTCCTTAATATGATAAATATTATATATATATATATATTTATGTATATATTTTACTGGAAAATTCTCTGTGCCATTTCGAAAGGTACACCTTTTAAAATTCTCCGTTATAAAGTCTTCTAAATCATGAAGATTGATTGATCGGTTGATGTTTGTTTGACGCCACTTAGCACAAAAGGTCAGGAAATTTGGCCCGAGGTGAATTTGTCTCTTCTTTTTATGTTTTTTTTGGTCATATAGCTCATAAAATATTCAAGTACTGGTGTATATTTATACTCCTTGGCTCTAAATAGTTTGGGTTTTAGTGTGCCTGGTGAAGGTTAATCCAGAAAAAGTGCTTCGGATATAGCAATTTGTAAACTTATATTTTCATTTTAATCATTTCAAACAAATAGAAAACTGTTGGAAGTAATAAAATGGAAGATAAGGTAAATTTTTCCTTGGTAAATGGTGATCTATTTTACGCTTTAACAATTTTCTAAAAGTCCTTCAATTTTGACTAAATTCGCACAATGATACATTAAGATTGTCGTGAAATTTTGGTTTTAACAACATGTTATATTATTGTTATTTATATATACAAGTAACATATGACTAGTTTTCTAATCTGCTCTTATGATAGATTTATTATCCAAGTGGTAAAGTTGAAAACATTCCCTCAGATATTTTACGGACGCCATAAGGGATTGCTGACCGCGTGTCCCGGTTGACAACGAATATGTTGCAATTGTCTTACCAACAATGCTGTCCTTTTTTCCTCATTTGAGACACCATTGAAAGAAACTTATCATCGCATTTGTACTGACTATAACAACTCGACGGTGTCGGGTAGGGAGCAAGACCTACTTACCCTTCCGGAACATTATAACGTTATAGATATATGTAGATGTAGATGAATGAAATATCCTTCAAGTATATCATTTTCAAGAAAATTGGTGTTTATATTTTGACTTGTGTAACATTTCGATGTTCGGTGCATTTTATAGCTTATTATACAATATATGACTGTTCATGGTTGAAGGCCATATCGTTACCCGTATATATCTACATGTTTCACTATATTGTCTTGTGGTGGATATTTGTCTCTCTGGTAAATATACTACAGATATTCATTTTCATATCATAAAATCTCTTTGATATTGAGATTCCCTAATGTTTCAACAACTTCCAGACCTAGTGAAATGCTTCCTATCTCCGTCATTACCAAGCAAAAATCTATTGATTACGATTTAATGCACGTACATCAACGGAAACGAACATACAAATATGATTCGACTTACGTTCTTTCTGCAAATTTGTAATCACAATGACTGGTATTATAGCAATTACTATTAGCAAGATTCCAGATATAATCGCATATATTGTACACTTTCTCCGTCTTTTGGTATCGTTCTCCTCCTTTTCAAGATCCAAATCTGCATCTTCTTCATCCGGAGCAACGTATGGTTCCTTTCGTGTATATGAAGCGCGTAGAGATATCTAAAACGGATTACGAATTTTTTTTTCAACATCAAATTTAGTTAACATTTGTATCTATATATATTCTAAGAAAAAAAAATTGTATATAAAATATCAAATAGTATATTTGAAATGCAATTAACGCAACCATTACATGCCCATTTATTGAGTGATTGATTGATTGTAATTTGCCTAACGTCAAGTGACACATATTTCATGAATGTTCAGAACAAACAAAAAATCAACAATTAATACAAAAAGTAGGTTCTATTACTAGGGGGTCGACCGGAATGAGAGGGGGGATTTTTAAATGCCATTGAAAATGAGGGTTTATAGGATATGGACATCAATTTAGTATTGAAACACGCCATCTACGGATCCCTCAAATAGTTGTTGCAACGGTTCTACACGGGCAGAGAGCGTGGGACTCTCTTTACACGACGCTACGAAGTTAAAGTCTCCATTCAGGTCAGACGTGGCTACGAATTTATACCTCCCGCACAACCAACGGACGACTCAATTTGGAAAGCGTTTAACTGCTGACCTGCGTATAAGACCAAGGCAAAATGGCCATAATATTTCTATACCTCAGTCCATTCTTGGGGTTTTCAATTAATTGAATGAAAAATAACATTAATATTATAAATTCTATAAATGCTGTTGTTTTCAAGATTTCAAATGAATAAATGCAAACAGAAAAATACTTTCTCACCCTTGGCCATTGTCTTGAAAGAAACTGACCAGCCGTTAAAGGGTCTAGTAACATTTTCCTCCATGTTAGCATCTGTTCATCCTGACGATTACCATTATTACTTGAACTTGACGATTCATCGTCTGTGTAGTCGGCAGACTGATCAAGCCTGGTTGAACTTGATACTGCAGTTTTAGTATCACGAGTTGCTGAAAGTGACTTCGTTGATTTTACAAATCCTCTATTGTCATAACTTTCTGTTGGTTTTCTGGATTCACCTATTCCATGCTTACTGTCTGCTATGTTTTCTCCAGCACTTGAAATGTAATCAAATCCTGCACTGTAACTATTTCCAAGCCTCCACTTTGGAATTTCGTTCAAATGAAATGTTTTCCCGTCACCAGCACTGTCGTAGACATTAGACCAACCCAGATCTGGGGCTGTTTTACCAAGATATTTGTTATCAGCCATAGTATTCTAATACGATTTTCGAAAATATTCCATTTGATGCAATAGTTTATCCAATAAGAGACCGGAACATTTTGTGTGATATAATCTGTGGAAATTGTAGAGAATACAAACACTGAATCGGATATTAAATATTTCGCTAAAACAAAAATAACTAATAAACTGAAATAACAACTTGCTAAATACAACCGGGAAAATATATAATCCTGACCACACTTGAAATAAAAGAAAAAAATATTACTTTCAAAATTGTTGCAATTCAATTTTCTTTTCTATTCAGTGATTATTATTTCATACATAGATATTCAACAGTATTATACTAATTACTTAACAGAATAATTATGTAGCATTGATTTAAACCTGATACCATGTACTTCCTTGTTCTTTATTTATTTAGGTGCAGGAATTGTATTGAATACACTATTCAATCGTAACAAATGATCAATTGTTCGTCCAATGTATTTGTTAATTGTGCGTAAGCAAGAAAATTTAATGTTTAAATACTGTACTGACGACAAGTTATTCTTCCATTGAATGGTATTGGGTGTTCGTTGTTAAAACATATAATGTGATTCTCATTTTATTTCTATACGTGCATTTAAAAGGATCGATGTTTTAAATTTCATAAATCGATAGAAAATCAATAATTATATAAGTATGCATATTGTTTATAACATCACGGTAAAGATTATTGATAGCTTTACCCAACAGAGGAGACCTTTAACCTTTCAATGTTTCGGAAGTTAAATGAACTAGGATTCGGGTTATGTTCTTCTTGTATAATTCATGATGACACGATACTAAACCCCTCACGGGAGGGATTTTTCTTGATTTTCATATGACATTAAATCTTTCAGATCAGTTTAATTGAGGTCTGGAGCTGGCATGTCAGTAACTGCTAGTAGTGTTTGTTAATTTGTGTTGATTATTGTCATTTCGCTTAGTTTCTTCTGTTACCTAGACCAGAACTTCTTTTAAACTGAGTTTTACTGTGCGTATTGCTGTGTGTTTGTATATTCTACATCAGTTAGAGATACAGGGGGGTGTTGCGATCTCCAAAAAAAGTGTTTAGCCCCGCCGCAGTTATGCACCTGTCCCAAGTCAGGAACCTCTAGCCTTTTTTAGTCTTGTGTGTTTTTTAAAAATTGGTTCATTTAAATGTTTCGGAGTTTAGTGTGGAGTCCATTCCGCTGAACTAGTATACATTATTGTACTCCGGGTGCAGGATTTTCTAGCTGCATTGAAAACCCATTGGTGGTCTTGGGCTGTTTTTTGCTCTTTGGTCAGGTTGTTGTCTCTTTGACACATTCTCCGTTTCCCTGCTCAATTCTAAGATATGGTTTTAAGTTGGCTAGCTATATAGGTTACTGTATTATGTACATATTCATTGTTTATATCCACCACATCTTTGAAAATGACATTCTGTTCTCTTTCCTTTAAATGATTTATTAGCATGCTAGATATCTCAAACAATCTTTCCTCTAGCCCAACAATCAACGATTCCAATGCACCTGTACTACATGTTATGATCCTGACCGACATACATGTACATACACTTTCCCGTTATCAAAGTGTAATGCACAAACAGTTGTGTGTGTTTTTTTAATATTCACTGTAAATACGAAATAATCGAAATTTCACTATTTCACTGTAAAACTTCTGGTATGCGCCATGTATTCAAAGAATTTACATTTAATTCACGAGTTATGTTTCTTTAGAGGTTCTTAATTTTTAAATTTTCAAAAAGAATGTTCGAGAAGATCAAATTGTAAACTCTCTTTTTTTTTTAAACGAAGCATTGTTTTTTATTTTCATCTTTTTAATGTAAAATCGGATTATTTTGTAAGGATAAGTGAAAGAATTTTTGCCGTTGTTAATTTGAAAGATTTTTTTCAGTACATTGTACTGTATCACTACAGCAGATTTGTCAAGCGAAGCAAGGTAACACATACCTATTTAAAAGAAATCAAATAAAGACAAATTTTGTTTGAGTTAATATGTTTAGACGAAATTGATGCTACAGGCTACACGCATATGCACATGCCTCATATGGAGCAGGAACTGCTTACTCTTCCGGAACATCTGATTTCACCTTCGAATTTTTGGTTGGAATCGTGTTGCACAGTCTTTAGTTTTCTGAACAACAGTAATCCAAATGTGGAATAATATAAGCATTGTAAAATAGAATTCGTGCATTTTGATTCAATTATTTCTTGATTCTTTTAAGTAATGCTAATGAAGAATAAACTTTTTTGATACTATGATTAATATGATCATACCAAGACAGAGTTGCGTCAACAAAAATACCATTAATATGTTGGCCATTAATTGATATATTTAATTGGTAAAGTATTTGTTTGATTTATAAAGTCTATCTTACCTAACAATACTGGAGCCAGTTTCACAAAGCAGTCTTAGGACTAAGACATGTTTTAGGATGGTCTTACGACACATCTTAGTCCTAATTGGGTTTCACAAAGTGGTCATAACTTAAGACATCTCTTAAAGTTGGTCATAAAGTTAGGACTACACGAGAGGTGTCTTGTGATAGGCATAGGATAGTCATAAGTTTCCACGGCATCCATAAGAGTTTGAAGCTCTGATTCTGTGAAATTAGGGCTCCTTTTCCTGTTCATAACTAAATTTTTAAAGGTTGACGGACTATCAAAATGATTTATCAACAATGAACACTCGATGTATTTATAGCAAGAATGCAAGATTTTATCTCTTAATCTTATAACCGACAAAGTTATAAATTGAATTCAACTCACTTGAACAAAAAAAAAATGCTTATGATCCTTTACGGTTTCACGAAGCAGTCATAAGAGGATCATAAGACATGTCCTAAGATATCTTAGGACATGTTTTATGATCCTTTACGGTTTCACGAAGCAGTCATATAAGAGGATCATAAGACATGTCCTAAGATATATCTTATGACAGGTCTTAGGATAACTTCGTGAAACCGTCCCCTGATTGTTAACATTTATATCAGTACAACAGAGCAGGTAAGGAACATCCATCAATTCAATATAAATAATCAATTACAAAATGTATAATTAAAAAAAAAGTTTGAGATCGGATAAAGTTAAACAAAACAATAAGCACCACGAATTCCTTTATCGCCTAATTAATGCTCCTTGTTGAATTCCTACATGGTGAGTTTTGTCAAAATGCACCACCTTCGAACCATGCATTGACTATACTTAAAGCTGAAATAAGACCAACTGTGACCGTTAGAACACACACAGATTTTCGCACACCATACACCTTATCGCTATTTAGTCCAATATGAAGAAAACCGTCACTTAGACAACTTCCTGTTTGGGTCCAGTGTTGCAACATCAAACGTCATCAGTAACGAGTTGAGGGAGGAAAAAGTTTAGAATGCGAACATTTTGAAACTTTGATAGATTATGATGAACTTTTTTAAAACACTAATTAAAATCATAACAATGCTTTGTTTGAAGTGTTTACGATGGTTAAAAAATATCTCTTTGAAAAGTTTTATGCAAAATACATTGTTTAAACAGGGCCCCAGATAGGTTCAACTGGATGAAAAGGTTGTGTAATTTCAGAACTTTTCCGGATTGGAATAAATAGCGATAAGGTGTATTAGATTACACACATTATGTCAATAATGCCATTTTATCACAGATAGTATATTTCGTTTTGGAATAAGAAAACAGCTCTGTGATATCAGCTAAGTCAGTGTTATCATTTTCTAACAACCATTCTTCATTGTGATATTTGACTGCATTTATAAAATATGACCACGCCTTTTATGGTAAAAATAGTCAAATAATTGATCATAGGATTGTGAAAATAAATATATGAAATATGTGTCTATAAATTTCCAGGTAGATTGACATAAAAGTGGCAAACTTGTTGACCTTTAGAGTGTTTTTGGTTGGCTTTTCCAGTAACATGTAGTTCATTTCAGTTTTCATGCGGTAAAACCCTTGGTTCATTCCAAAATGTTATGCTCGAGTATACCTTGAGAATGCTATATCAGAAAAGCTATTCTGATTTATTACATGTACCGTTTGACCGATCTTTCTGCTGCGGATAGACGATCATTTCCGGAATGTTCCACCAAGTAGTCAATACTTTGGTTTTGACATTATTTAAATGATAAACTTTATACTTAAATTTCCACTTGAGAAATTATCTATTGTCCATTTTAGAATCATAAGGACTATTTGTACGTTTTGTACTTTCATTGTTCATACCCCAAACAAAGTCACGAAATAATTTTTTGTTTCATTGTTTAGGACATGGTTTTCGCTTTTGAAAACTATACCCAGAATGCATTAGATTCTGAAACGCGAATTGTAATTGTCACCAGGCATAATAGGCCGTAATCCGATTTCACTGTATTGATGAATTTCTTCTGATAGGATGATCCAAAACATTGCAAATAATCGGGTTTACAAAATTTAAAACCCGGATGTTTGGTGAAAGCAATACCAGAAACACGCCCATGTTGTGGTTTATTCATTGAATCGTTCTTATAATAAGATCAATTATTGATAACTTATCAAAAATAAAAGACTTAGATTTTAGAACTAGTTCGTAGAATGGAAAATAAATTACTAGAATTTTTTCGAGTGACAATTAAATAACCCTTTAGTATTGTTGCATTTACAAAGAACTGGGACTTTTCAATGCTCAGTCATGAAAGATTAAACATTTAATTTATGTAAATACGTCCTAGGTTTGATCAAGAGAATTCAGAGTAAGTTATTAATCACTCACTTATACTTTAAAGTTAATATATGATGAACACTTTAACGTCATGCCTTTAATCGTAAAATAAATAGCCTTTAACTTAAGTAGACATGTTTGAATTATTTACAATCTTTTCTGATGATTTTTTAAAGTAATTATTCACCCATGTTTGGCCTTTCTTGTCACGCGAAGAAATGATATTGCAAACAAAATTATGACGGACTTAAAACTATATCATTAAAAATCTCAATTAAGACTTAATATGTACAAAAACACGTGCAAAATGTCAAACAGGAAAATTATTTCGACAATATATACTAAAAAAATGTAACACAATAACAGCAAGTATATAATCATGTGATATCTGGAGCTTCAATTTATTTACAT